AGAGAGAGAGAGAGAGAGACAGAGACAGAGGATGGGGGGGGGGCTGCTTACCTCAACACCACCATCACCTTCGTCCACAACTTCTGTGTTGAAGTGTCTGAAAACAGTTCGGTATCCGGCAACGTGACCGTAAACACACACACATGCACACACGCCGCTCAACCCGGAAGAGAACAGTAGTGTATCCGGTGGAGGATTTTCAAATTAAAACCGCGGTTAAACTGCACATGGCAACCAGCATGCATCAAGTCAGTCATTCATGACGAACTGTGTCAGTCAAACATCCAAACTTACGATCTTTGAGCTCTAATTCATTATGATATTATTTCAGATGGATCACCAAAACACAGAGGGAGTGAATTTAAAGAGACTACAATGATCATGGACAAAAACATAGATTTTTGTAATTTGTGGGAAAAGTTGGCCTTTTGTTAGTGGAGTCAGAGCTGTCTTGGAGCCAACCCTGCCTGTCCTCTCTTTACTATTGTCCTTCACCTCGATGGACAATGTGCGGAGGTCCAGAAAAGATGTGGAGGAGAACTCACTGTTTGCATTTAAGGAGCCTAAATGCACTACAGGAATAATCCACTGGAAGAAAATTCACATGAACGCAATTCCAAGAGCAACAGTTTTATTAGAGCTAACTAACCTGTTGGTACATATTCAGAGAGAATGAAAAAATTATGTGTCATGGGTCCATTAGTCCAATAGATGGACAGACTGAAATCTTACACACTTAAACTTATGTTGGGCATCAAAGGAGGAAGAATTATTTCAGTTGCACCTTTAGGGTTTATTCTTATCTGATCAGACACGTCCTGTTTCAAAAATATGCAGAAAAACTAGTCCATGCCTTTGTCACATCCAGACTTGATTATTAAAATTCCTTATTATCAGGCTCCAGCAGTAAGTCATAAAAGACTCTGCAGCTTTTCCAAAATGCTGCAGCACGTGTCCTGACAAGAACCAGGAAAAGAGACCACATTTCTCCTTTATTAGTTTCTCTAGGCTTCCTGTTAAATTTAGAAAAGGATTTAAAGTTATCCTCCTCGCCTAGAAGGTCCTTAATAATATGTCCGCATCATACCTTAAAGAGCTCATATTACCGTCCATATCACCCTACTAGAGTACTGAGCTCCCAGAATTCAGGCTTATTTTTCCTTAAATTCTATCTCCCAGTTTCAGTTCGGGAGACAGACACCCTCTCTACGTTTAAGAGTAGGCTTAAAACCTTCTTTTTTGATAAAGCTTATAGTTAGAGCTGGTCCAGGCTTGCTCTTAGTTATGCTACTATACGTCTAGGGGACGCATCATGACACATAGAGCTTCTCTTTCCCACTCTCCTTCTTCATCACATTGATACATGTTTCTGACTACACTTCTCCACTGGAGTCCTTGTGCTGTATTGTTTACAGATCCAGGATCGCAGCTGTGGCTGAATGGAGGATTGTGATTTGGGGAGACAAATTGTGATTTGTCAGTATGGGCTATACAAATAAAATGTTATTGGTTGAATGATTTACATTCTCAGACTCATCTCAGTTAATGGATGAGAAGCCCAGTTTATCTCAAGGTTTTCTTAATTCATTTCAGTGAACCAGGCCTTTGCTCTCACTTTCATTTCCTCATTCGGTTGTTTGGCAGCCTGTACTTCCTCATTCTCTCTCTCTCTCTGTCTCTCTCTCTCTCTCCCTCTGTCTCTCTGTCTCTCTCTCTCTCTCTCCGTCTTACTGTCTGTGTGGAAGTAATGCAGGACGGCAAAGGAGCAGGAGAACAGGCCGAGGCTTCTCGCCTGGAGCTTTATGAGGATTATGTGAAGTGTTACAGTGACACGTGTCCGGAGGTTCAGCCTTGCCATGATGTGCAGCTGCAGAAGAAGGTGGCTCAGTATCTGCTCAGGGAACCGACACCTCCAGGAACTTTCACTGTGTTCCCGTTCTACCAGGCTGTAGCAGAGGCATGTGGCCCTGTGAGCACCGACTGCAGGAAACACCTGACAGCCTTCATCAGAGCCACTGAGCTGCTGGAGACCCTCTGTGTCAACCTCTTCCTGCAACCATGGAGGAAGGAATTTAAGACACTGAAGGTAAGGCCTTTTCTTTCTTTCTGCCTTTCTGCCTTTCTCCCTTTCATTCTTTAGTTCTTTCATTCTTTCTGTCTTTCTTTCTCCCTTTCATTCATGACAACTAATTCATAGTTTAATATATTAGAATTTTGTACTTTCACACAAGGTTTTTCTTTTGGAATTAAACTTGAGTAATGTTTCCAAAAAGTTTGATGAGTTGTCCCAGTTCCTGGTTCTGTAGATGTGGTAGAAAGAGGAAACACCTAAAAGAACGAGACAATGAGGGAATGACCCAGCGAACAAGTAATGACACATTTAGGAGATTAGAATATGAGTGTCATAAAACCCTATTCATTTTTCTGACAGTTGAAGACTTTATAAAGAGTTTGTAGTTCATTTATGTCGTTAGTGTACTGCAGAAGCTTTGCTGGAAGTGAATGATTTAACAAAATTCAGCATATATAGCTTTTATATGTTAGTGGGATCATTAAGTGTTTTTGATGTTGCAAACTTAGACAGTTGGTTGACGGCAATATCAGTCGTATGTATTTCCTTATCAGCACTTTGAAGCAAGCTTTCAATCTATTGATATATTACTCAAATATTTCATAATAGTTTTCTGTGGAATGTGTGATCACGGTCCCCTGAGGATAATGCTTTCTCTAGTGCCACCTACAGGCACTGGGAAAGAATTCCATTCTTGATATGTAACTTGGACATATTTCTTTAATGACCAATGACAAATAATTAAGACAATCTCATAATATATGAAACTGTGTCTGTGTCTTTTTTAGACTTTCACTGGTCCATTTGTTTACTGTCTTCTACCAGTTCTCAGCAGTTCTACCATTCAGTCAGTACTGGCTTCTATTGGCTACCTGCCGCACACTGACAGCCCACAAAGGTATGAACAAGGAGAAGAATCAGGACGAGACAAATGTCCTGAGCATTTTGGATCACTCACCGTGTTTTTTGTTTTCCTCTTTACTGTTTATGGATGTCAGTGAGTTCAGACTCTGTGAGGATGCTAACCCAGACAGATCCATACTGATGGGCTTCGAGCTCCTGCTGGCCAGGTTGGAGTGTTACCACCTCCTGGAGCTCCTGGAGAAGGATCAGCTAGGACCAAAGGTAAGATCATTATTAAAGCATGTCATATTTTCAATACTATTGTCCAATATATTACAGTTATGTAGAATTCTGCTTAATTTAAAGTACCAGTGGGAATTCTTATGTAATTAAAACCTATTGTGATGTATCCAATCCAAGGGCTGGACATTTCTTTTCTGCCAAATTTTCCCAAATCCATCGCAGGATGGCTTTTATCGGGATGAAAAAAAGTAAGATGCATCATTTGGAGACAAACTAAGAATCAATAATTAAGTGCAATAAAAGAAAGTCAAAGGATAAATATAGTTCCAGGCTGCATTGAGCAGAATACAACTATGACAGCAGTTGGCTTTCAGAAAAGGAATGGGTTGAAAAAAGATACAAATAAATTATGATCCTCATGATATTAAACATTCATATTGAACTACAGTGTGAATGTAGCTCATTACCATGTAATATGGACACAGTAACACTACACATGACAGTTACAATCCCACGTTGCAGGAGTGGCTGGAGGTTCTCCAGAGAAGAGTGGGGCCTACAAAAGTGGAGGAAACCACAGGAAAGGAGACACCAATGGGGCAAAAGGAGGAGGAGAAAAAGAAGGAAGAAGGAGATGGAAAAGAGGTAGGGCAGAGTGCAGAGAGCTGGTAAACTGTGTGGATGAAAGACAGAGAAGGAGCTGAGACCAACAGAGAAATCAATAACAATATCAGCTGCAGTATGTACTGAACTCAGGTGTTTTGCTTTTTCAGGTACCTGTGAATTCAGGCCCCAGGCCTCCAGTGAGACCCAGGGGCATGCCTCGACACCAGCGTCTTATCAATGCAGACCGGTCTATTTTGGAGATGCAGAGAACTTACCCTGATCTGGCCTTCAGAGGCCGCCTTCTGGTACCAGACAAACCTCAGCCAGCAAAACGCAGCCGAAGCAGCAATAAAGTTATTCATACTGCAAGTGGTCATGGCAGCGATAGCAGTAAAGTTCCTGAGATCCCCAAAAGAGATGGTATCAAAGACATCAGTACTACTTCTACAATTATCTCTAGTAAAAATGATGAAGGCAAAGCTGATAACATGTTGAGTGATGATGGCAGAAGTAATGGTTGTGATGATAACCCCCCTGGAAACACCACCTGCAGCAGCTGCAGAGACACTGATGGAAACAGAGACATTTCCCTTCACGTCACATTAAGACCTGTAATCACAGGAGAGCAGGACCTGAAGCCTGGAGAGAGCTCGCCCACAGTAGATCCCTCAGCCGCAGGTAACATACACACACACACACACACACACACACACACACATACACACAAACACACACACACACACACACAGACACACACACACGTAACACACACACACACACACATGTAACACATGCACATCTCAAAAATTAAATAATAGTGTCTTTACGTCTAAATCTGTCTTTTCTCTTCTTGTAAAATGGTTTCAAGAGTTGAGTATAAATTCTGCTATTTGAATGACCTATGCTGACCATTTTTTATCTCTCGACAACAGAGAGCAGGCTGTTGTCATGTATTTCCTTGTTGAGCTGATGGTTACTGTTAACTCTGCCATGGGTGCAGGACACACTAGGCAGCTGTAAACACCAGTAAACAGTTTACAGTTGCCTCCATAGCTTTGTGTTTTTACAGAACACAGGTAGATATGAGGAGTCAAAAGCTCCTCACATCTGTTTCACTGAGTCACAGCAGATGCTGTGTGATGATGTTCCGAAGACATTGCAAGGCCAATAAATTCTGCTTTGATGGATATAATTGCTTTTCAAAGCCCAGTGCATTGTATGTGTAGACAGTAATCTACTGTGACAATCAATAAAATAAATAAATCAATACACCATAACATGTCTATGTACAAAACATCTAATTGGCTAGTTGGCTTAAATCCTATATTACAATATATGCAACTGTATTAAGAATTAATTGGCAAAGACTTCATGAATAAAACAGCATGACAGGAATGTTTGTGTCCAGCCATATTAGCAAATTAGATTCTGGACAAATCAAGATACTTGCTTCTTGCTGTACTGGAAATAAATAACACCCAGTTTTCATCTGATTCTCACAGGCACACAAAAAAAGAGACTGTCCAGACCAGATACTGCTTCTCTGAGCTCCATGGATGAGGAACAGGAGTTGATGGAGCTAGCAGAGAGGATGCGGGTCCAGCTCCATGTGCAGGAAACCAATGAGGAGGTGATTAGAAAAGAAGACAACAAAAGAGGAGATAACACAAATAAAGAAGGGAGGAAGAATAAAAGAAAGATAAGCACAGAGGGGGAGGTAGAGGAGCAGGACCTCATGAAACCAGTGGTGGAGACAGGTCAAGCACTGAGCTATGATGCAGGTAGAATCACCAGAACCTCTCAGCCTGGTCCTGCATGGATGAAAGAGCAGAAGCAGACCGCCATGTGTCACTGTTCAGAAGGACAAGAAAAAGAAACAGAAGAAGCAGAAATCAGTGGAGAGGAGGAGCAGAACTTTGTCATTGTGGAGCTGTGAAAAGGAATGAAATCCCCTCAAGGTTCATTTGCATATTTGTTTATTACAAAGATCTGCTCTGCCACCCTCAGGACTTTCCTCAGCTGCTTTGGGTGCAGTTGTTAGAGAGAGGCCTCACCAGTGCACACTCACATTTGGCTCTTCAATCCCGTAAATGTTGTAAACTTTGTTATTTGGTTGATGTGCTCTGTAACACGTGACACCTATTGCACCTCTGTCCATACTAGGAGAAGGATCCCACACATGCTACTCTCTCTGAGGCGTTTTTTCTCCTGATAAAAGGGTTTTCTGGTAGTTTTTTGTTGAGGATTAAGGACAGAGAATGTTGTACCTTGTTAAGCCCTATGAGACAAATTGTGATTTGTGAATATGGGCTATATAACTAAAGATAGTTATATCTACCTTTACTGGTGTTATGGACAGACTTGTGTTGACCACAACATAAATGCAATGCAGTTCATGCATTTCCTCAGGTATTCATTTTGAGTTGATTTCAGATGTTCATGAGCTGTTTTAACAGCTCGAACAAATACTGATTTTCTCACTTTAAAATTCTACAATCTTATTATTTTAATTCAGAAATAAAGAAAAAACAGAAAACATATCTGTGTATCAAAGCTTTGTTTTGATCTGATGATCATTCAGATTTGTCTGGTGTCTCTGTTTACATGATGAAATAGTTCAAATTAACTCCAGCTGCAACAACAGTGAAGAATTCCTGACATGCTGCAGTGTTCATTATCTAACAGTGTCATATTTCATAATCAGTCAGAGGGACCAAACCAGTACTTTTACTCTAATACTCCATACTACAGTTCACAGCAGTTTCTGCTAAAATGCAGGCTCTGTAGGATTATTCATACAGGACTTAATTTGGGAATTCTGACATAGCTTAAGTAAAGGTATAAATCAACAGACAAGAGAAAAGATTTATTGTCTTGAGCCAGTATACAACTGGATCCATGGACAAAATACAAAAGAAATTCACAACTAAACTTCCAGGGAATTTTGAATTTTGACAAATGGATTGCCATCCTCCAAAGCCACAACACATCAGCCAGAGGCCTGATGACCCCGATGTTGGGCTAAGGGGTGTTTTACCTCCAACCACAGAGGAGCTGCTGCAGACACAAGGTAAAGACGTTCTCTCTGTTGGCCTCTGGTTTAGATATTGTAATGTTGTGATATAGCCAAAGTGCCTATTTCTGGTTTCAATGGCTGCTGAGTTCGTTCAGTGGCTGTTTGTAAACAGTGCATATTCCTAAAATGACTATATTGAGGTATTTGGTTGTGGATTGTGATATTTGACTTTGTCTATCTCAACCAGCCATAATATGTCTTCTTACTTATCACTTTGCCTGCTCATTTATTTGACATCACTTTTTGAATGTAAAGAATTTCGTTAATCCGTTAAGCCAATTGGATTTTGAATGTACCTAAAGCTTTTATCAATTACAATCAATGTATTGGCAACTAAAAATATGTTTTATGATTGATGTAATAAAGTAATTACATTTGATCTCACATTGACAGTTTACCTAATGAATTATATGGACACTGCATGAACTGCATATAACACTACACAAGCACAGGGTTGTTTTAGAAAGAAAAGGTCAGATCATTTTACTCAACTGATACTACTTTATACTTTCTCTGACAAATCTGACCTGTTCAATCACTATTTACATTTAAGGTGAAGATTTGACATAATGGATAATATAACCAGCTTTTAGAATACTTCACTTTTTTAGAGGTTTAATTTGATGATTGCAACCATTTTAGCTTCTAAAATGCACAAATCTTTAATTAGTTAATTAATTAAGATCTGTCAGAGTTTTCTCCCCAAACTTCTTGTCAATTTATTTCGATTAATCATCCACTTACAATGTATCTCACCACACTTGTGATAGTCAAAGCGTGACCGGGTCTCATCCCTGCATGTCAGAGCAGCTGATCAATTCACACAAATGTCAAAAATGCAGAGAGAAAGAATTTAGAGAGACATTACATTTTGATTGGAATGGAGGACTATCAGGGGCTGAGCAGGTAGAGTAGAGAGACATAGGTAGTTAAAAAAAAAGTTTTTGTCTTTATTAACAAAAAGGCAAAAATAAAACTGAAGACAAGTTAACAGCACAAACTGACCTTCTGACTGAGACATGAACATGCCAGCATAATGTCATCTAATATTAACTATTCTCCTTTTGATGGTCAGCCAGTAGACTCCAGCAGCAGCAACGCTCAGGAACTGGTAACTCAAGAAAACCTGATAAATTCTTACCAAAAAAAGAAATACATTGATGAAGTATGTTGTATGAAACCGAAATCAATGGGTCCAGTGTGTGTGTGTGTGTGTGGTGTGTGTGTGTGTGTGTRTAWTSTAACCTAAACCAAGCAAATTAAACAGGTGAACGAAAGATTAAGTGCAGCCATCACATAGAACTTTAATTGTTGACTAAACTTTTAAGTCAATCAACAGTAACCATAACAAGGTTGATCCAGGGAGCTATATAAATAGCTAAGATTTCATTGTTTCATTTACCAATTATATTATTTATTTTTTTTAACTTTAATTCAATTTAGAATTGAATACAAACAGAATATATGAGTTGTCACTTTGTTTTTACAAACAGTGGCAACTCATTATGTCCTTCATTAAGTCCTACATAAAAGAGCAAAACACATATACAATCAAACTTGTGATTGCAGATTTTACTTTTTACTATTAATATATATATTAATAAATGTGTATTCCTGGACACAACACGGAATGTTTTATTCACATACTGATATTCAGTGGAATGTTTCCCTTGCACTGAAGTTAGTTCCGTTTATGAAGCTTCTCCAACCTGTTAGTGAGAACAAATTGTCTCCTACAGTACACACCCATCAGCCACAACAAAAAGGTTTGAATGTTGTGGAGACTGGAGAGAAGGTTTTACATAGCTGATAGTTGAAAATCTGATTCTTAAATAAGATGCTATTGTTGTGAAAACCTAAATAAATGTAACAGATCAGAGCTGTAACTATGGTTTAGTCTGTATAATTGTATGATTGGGAATCAGATGCAACTAGCAGAGAGGATCTTGTCACGATTTTCTTCATACTGTTGCAGCATCTTCTGGAGATCGTGGTCAGCAGGGATCACCTGCACACAGAGTTTTTTTTACAAACAGATCAGAAGAACAGGCAGACAACAGCTGCAAGAAATAAAAATACACTACACTTACAAGGTCATCACAATTAATGGGGCATCACTAACTTAAGTTTTTAAAGGACCCCTCTGTTAAAGTGGAGCTTAGTACTGAGTTGTCAATGGAATTATTTCCTAAAATTATCTAAAATCACTATCAGATAAGATATCTCGAAAAAAAAGGGTTTTTGCAGTTCAATAATAATAATCAAAGTTTATTAAGTTATAGTCTGATAGAACAGGATTGTGTGGAAGGAATATTAAATGTAAATTTGACACCATATGTTAGAACAAGGTTAAGCATTTGGTTAAAACAATGAGAAGGTTGATCTCCACACCGACTGAAACCAGCTGTGTCTAATATTGAAGTACATGCACCACTAAGACAATGATTATCAATGTCCACCTGAATATTAAAATGGCCTATAATAATTACTGCTTTATGGAGTAGGCTTGATAAAAACTTAAAAAAATAAAATAAAATTCATAATAAGCCCCAGAAGCATGGTAAACCTCAACAAATAGAATTGGCTGCTGTGTTTTCCAGGATGGGTGTGATCAACTTAGAACAAGGCTCTCAAATGAGTTATAGATACATTTAGGTTTGGAATTATTGATAAACTGGAGTTTAAAATAGCTGCAACTCCACCTCCTCGGGCAAAGCATCTTGGAATATGTGTATTTATATGACTAGGGGGAGTAGATTCATTTAGGCTGACATATTCTTCAGGATGCAGGCAGGTCTCAGTGAGGGACAATAATATTGTAATCAATCCAGAGATTGTCTGAATAAGCTCATGAGAACACAGCAGTAGATCCTTCGGATGATTCACTGCAAGGAAGTGGGTTTGTTGATGACGTTTTTATCAGGCAAAAGAGATGCTGACAAAGAGGTCAAGAGAGCTTGTGGTGATAAGGGCGGACACTAGTGTCGATGTGGTGTTAACAAAAACATGCGATCTCTGCAGCAGAAGCGATATGTTACGTTGTGCCTCTGCCTGCTGCATCACCCCACTCCAGATATTACTGTGTTGCTGTGAACGCGGCTGAGCGGAGAATTTCCTGCTGCGTTATTCAGTGTGAAAGGCAAACTCCAGAGAATGTCCAGAAACAATTGTGCAGATATTCTCTGGAGTTCATGACTGAGAACAAGGTGTGACACCCGGACATACAACATGATCAAATAAAGACAGAGAGATGGAGTGGAAGCACACCACAGTGCACCAAAGTGTGCTAAGTCAATGGAAAAGGGTCATCTGAATGGTCCTTCGTGGCTACCTGAAACTACCAGGATGTACATGCTCAAGGTAAAATATCAACACAATCCAAAGCAAGGATGAGTCACTCACTAAAACAGGAGCAGTAAGAAGGGAGGAGGTCCCCTTGATGAGCCAGTCTTCATATAGCTGGTGGATAGACTCCAGATATTCCTGGTGGACGCACACAGATAACAGAGCTCACTTGTGACCTCTTCACAGAATCTCCCTATTCTTTAAAGTGAAACAATATGCTTTGAGTTTGCCTGCGCACCAGTGGAATGACTTTTTCCTCCTCTCTGCATCTCTGCTTCAACCTCTCGTGGCAGGTCTCAGGAGACGTCTGCAGGTAGACTAGAGCCAAAGGAAAAAGTCATATAACAATGTAATTATCAAACAAAGCTGAGAGTGAGACACTTTTAAACTTTGATGCCTGAGCGGTGGAATATGGGGGTTTGTCTTAGTGAAGGGGGCTGAAGGTCTTGACAGATGAAACAAGACAAATCTGACATCTGACATATTTCTACCATACAGACAGACACTAATTATCATCATTTCAGTTTCCAGTCTTCATAGTATAATAAAATATCAGTAAAAAATAACACTGCTATGACTGTGTTTTTTATCATTAAATATATAGTTTGTGTAATTCTCACCAATCAGATCAACAGGAATGGAAATGTTAGTTGTGATCCAATCAAACCACTCGCTGAGAACAGCATAGTCCACCTCTGGCATCTTCCCACTGAAAAAAAGAAATCAAGGGATGGGACATGAGCATTTATCCATCATTATGCTGTTAAATTATGATTTAATAATAATATAAACCCTGAGAAGATCATAACAGATTTTCTACACTATTTAAGGTTCCTTTCCTTAAAGAGTTTGCCTGTACTCTTTGTATTACTTTGTATTTACTGTTTACTGGAATTTAAAGTAAGCAAACTCTTAAAGGTATCGACGCTATGTCGTGAGCGTGGTCTCATTTTTAGAGAGAACATCTATCAATCTATACTTTGTTGAAACAAATGAATGGATTCAGTCAACAGAAACAAGAGTGTGCTTTTACTTTGACACAGGTACAGGAAATGTTAAATGACGTATTTAACAAATAGAAATTGAAACTATGGTGAAAGATCATTTTACTGTCTATTTTGCTGTGAACCATAGGTGAGACTCCAACTCTGGAGTGTGGCCCTGGCATAACAGCCTGAACATATGCAGCAGATTCCATGACAATAGCCGTTTGGCTCAGACTGTGCATGGTATGGATTTATTCAACTAGTCTCTTGGTGTAATCCAGGCACTAAGAGTTCTCAAGTCACAGATGACTGTACCTTCTGAAGAGATTCTCCACAAAGATGTACTTGGCACTGAAGAGGGAACGCTCCATCATCCTGACAGGAGCCGCCTGGAACCAACAACAATATTTTAGCTCATAGAGCTAATTTCCTGACAAGGTTCGACATTTCACTGTGTATGCCAGAAGTGCAGGTTAACACAGCCTTTCCTAGCTAGAGTACAATAAAATGTGTGTGTTCCAAGTAAACAGTACACTTACTATGGATGACAAGTGACGATCCAACATGGTAAGTTGAATGTAGGTCTGCAGGGTGATGCCCCAGCGCTCAGGATCCTGGTACATCAGAGCCTGCAGGGACACAAACAACCCAGTGTGGCAGACAATCAACTGACCTGCTACCATAACTACTCGACACTATTCTATAGGGTAACATGAAAATAATCCATATATATGTGTGTGTGAGTGCAGTACTTCTTTCTTATTCATATATCCCATGTACTCTATTATTTACACACTCTCTGGGGTTGTTTGGACTTCTATGCCTTGCCGAAGGACACTTCAATATGTGAAATGGAGGAGCCGGAAATGAAAACCAACTTTCCAGTTAGTGGAAAAGAAATACTTCAGACTCTGTAGGCCTCTATTGGGTCTTAACATTCATTGTTTTTTTTCCATTAAAACATTAATTAATATTATTAACAACCTCAATATTATTCTATCACAATCTTTGCTAAAACAATTTTTAGGTCCTACAATGGGTCCTGTATGTGTGTGCATTTTAAGTGTGTGCATAATGTAACCTAAACTAAGCAAATTAAACAGGTGAAAGATAGATTAAGTGCAGCCATCACATAGAACTTTAATTGTTGACTAAAATTTTAAGTCAATCAACAGTAACCCTATCAAGGTTGATCCAGGGAGCTATATAAATAACAATGGAGTCATGCACGGTACCAGAGGATTGTGTCCACGGACATTCCTCCATTTAGCGACTGGTTCTGTAAGGACCTGGTATAAATAAGACAGGGGAAAAGAATACATTTATCACCTTTCTGACTTCAAGGGCTACAGTCTTTCTCTGAATACTAATATTTCCTGACAGCCAGAAAATGTCAACAGGGAGAATGGGACTCAAATGTTCAAGCTGAGGGAAACACAGTGTGTAAAAGCTAAACAAAACATTTCCTATCTTTTATAATAAATCAATCCTCAAGTTGTGAAACAACAACAGTAGAATTTCCTGGGGGGAGTGCCTGCACACAACTCTTAAGTAAGCACAAACTTGATGGAGAAGGACTTTGTTTTGTTATACCTCTATATTGCTGGTCTTGCTGAAATACTCCAGACATGTTGTCTTCCCACTGGCGATGTTGCCCTCAACACAGATCTGAAAACAGTGACAAAGAGACATTCATTGACAGGCCTGTACACAGACAAATTAAGAAAATGTATGTTAGTTTGTCAAGTGTGTGGATTAGGATTTATTCACTGTCAAATGGGTTATAATAATAATAATGGAAAAAGCACCCCACACAGCCAACGTAATGAGTGTCACTTGGAGGATTAATGCAGGGAAATGAAATTTCAGACTACTATGGTGGATACTCACCACTGCTTTCTTATCCTCTCCATTCCGCACAAGCTTTCCTTGGAAGGGAGACAACATAGTGAGACAAGACTTCACTTCCCACAACTCCTAGAACTGGCCCCACTCAGGTCAGCAGGCTAAAGCGAGGTCAGAGGGACAGAAAGATGTTGAAATGCACAACAGGAACTGTACAGTGTGTAAGTACATGTCTAGAGTTGTTGTGGCTCTGTACTATAGGACATTGGATTTGAAATGAAACTCTCCAAGTGCTTTACATTGAGAGTATTTACACCCACAAATATGATGTACAATTTAAATTAAACAACTTAAACTTAAATATATAACTTGTTGGTCATTTCTTTACTCAATTTAAATCAGAGACCCTGGTCTTAAATGACTTGTATGTCTTTGTAACTGATCTACAATTCAGCATGGCACTTCTCACAGGAGATTGTGCATACGGGTCACAGGGTGGGAATAAAAGAGGCACCATTCTCCCTATCAAAGTCAGTATGGTATCATGATCACCATCATCACTATGAAGATTTTGAAGCTGCTATTTTAAGGTAAGACAGTTGCATAAGGTTGCTTCAACACTATCATTATCACTCCATGTCACTTTGCTGAAGTACAGAGACAGCACAATGACATAGTACTTACGGACTGCAGTGGACACGGTAGATCGGTTGGTCAAAGTAAAGGGGAAAGTGTTTGAGTAGATGTGAACAACTTATCAGCCACGTCTGCTCTGGTTTTTTGATCGCAGTGTTATGAGGCAGCTGGTTGGAGCGAACAGTCTCTGCTGACAGATGACTCACTGTCTCAAGACACACCAGCTTGTCAGCCGTGTTTTTCTTCCCGTTTGGTGAAATGTCCGTGCGTTGAAGTGAGAACTAAGAAAGTTTAACCGGACAAATCTGTCATTCAGACGCAGCTATGATGTGCACCAAAGTGAATCATGAGCTCCTCTCTGGCACCTGATGAAAAGGCTCTTCCTGGGAAACAGGATGTTTGACACAGTGCACGACCATTTCTCAGCGATGCTCCTCCCCCTTCATAGTGTAACTAACTAACCAACTACTGTTTACATCGGCAGGCGCATGCGCAGTCTGTGGTGTGATGCGCAGTTGCTTCAATGGAGCCAGAGTTTGACAGTGGAGTGAAGGCTGCCGCTGTTAGGCACAGACGAAATACGTTTTTAAATGTATACAATAAATACGTCTAGACACTTTCTCGGGTGTTTGAACAGGTACCACTGACCTGCGCTGCTGTGCGTTCTGCTCTGGATCACACCGACGCCTCCTGCACCGAGCTTCAGGCCTCTGTTACATCCTGTCGCGCTAAGACACGACGAGACCACAGCCCAGTGAGCGGACAGGACTCGAACACACCTCAGTGACACACCGACAGCAGCCAGCCGCATCTCACACGACACCGGACTCACTGATCAACCGCACATGTTGTCTAACGTGCGGTTTAATAACACACTCCGTCACAAAGGAAGGAAATACAAGACTTCTTCTCAGCTACATTGAGTAACATACCGGTAGTAACATTAGAGGCGCACACTGCCACCTACTGTACAGGAGTGTGTACGGATGTGACACTGATCAACTGAGTACTGCGCGCGCGCGTGTGTGTGAGTGTGTGTGTGTGTGTGTGTGTGTGTGTGTGTGTGTGTGTGTGTGACAACTCCTTAAAAAGGATGTTTCCAATTGATACAGCTATTTTCAACTTACTATTTCTGCTTTTATTTTCCAATGTCTTGCCTTATTTATTATTATTAGATGCTGAAGACATCTGAATTAAAACATACTAACCATTGGTTAATGGATATCCTACAAAAGAACTCAAATTCACTCATGTTGTGGAAATCTATTTCAGTGTTTAAGAATTTGATTACAGTTTTTTACAACCGCTATGACCCGTTTGTCAGAACCTTAAACACTTTTTCAAAACTGTTAACGCACACAAATCCCCAAACAGTTAATTTCATGCTCAAAACCACGCAGTGTAACTAAACACAGACACACACTTCCAAAATACAATAATACACTAACACAATTCACCAACTCTACCAAAGCACTGACACAGGTTGTCTTCCAACAGAAACATTTAGTCAGTCACAGCACAGTGTCATGAAAAACACTGACAACTGATGGAATAACACAAACTGAATCACTTTGCATGTGTCAAATCTACTCTTTTCCTTTTTCTTTTACAATCAACAGATTATTGTATTAATCATACATGTAAATTAATGTTTGTGATGATGATCTTAATCTTTCATTTGTTGGGCATGAATTTTGTTCCTTTTTTTGTACAACACTCAGTACAAAAAGTGAACGACCCATGTCAGAGCAGCTTTGCAGAATGTTTATGGAAGAAGAAGACAGTAAATGACAGGATTTGCAGTAAACACTTTACTGTATTGCAAATGAAAATGACTTACAGTAGAGTAAAGAGGGAAAAAAAATCTGCAAAAAATGTAGCAGTCATTCATTACTGTATTGTCAAATACGCAAAAAGAAAAAGGAGCAGAAGAAATCACTGTAAAAGAGGAAGATAAAAAAGCTCATCTAATAAGCTAATCAAGATACGCCTATAAATATAGGTGATCTGATTGGTGATGTGATTGAAAAAAGCCCAGCACCTCATTTCTGTGAGACGGAGATCAGCTGTGATCAATGTAGTCTTCAATCCATTAGTTTTGATCATGAGGTTTGAAAAAGCGTTAAAAGTATTGAACAACGGGTCATAGCGGTTGTAATAAACTTTACGTAAGAGGATCTTTGGTCTGATTCACCCTCCAGACCAGTTGGTGGTAGTGTAGCACCATTTTGCTGTTTGCCAGCTGCCGATGAGCTTCAGTGAAGAGGAAGAAGTAGCAGCAGTGGGGAGTTATGGCAGAATCCTCAGAGACCAAACTGCAGCTGGTGTACACTCTCATCCGAGCTTTTCCAGACTTCCCGAAGAAAGGCATCCTGTTCAGGTGAGCGACTCCTCCCTGACATCCACGCCGTGTGTCACAGTCCTGTCCGCGGCTCCAGCTGCTGTGAAGCTCCCCACATGGTCCCTGCCCTCCCTCGCTCTGAGCCGCTGCAGGAGCTGCACATGTAGTCAGCTGCTCTGGAAGAGAAAAGCTCGCTGCAAACATATTTGCACATTTATTTTCCAACATGTATCTGAACATACAAATCTATGATCTGAACACTTCCTGTGCATGAAAATAGTTTGTCTGGTTACTGTCCTCCTAAAACAAAGCAGTACTATACCATTCATTTGTTTGGATTACTTGCTAAACAAAAAAACACAAATCCAAATATAGTACAGTAACAAATACAATCTTTACTTTTTTATCAAAAAGACAATGTATTAATTCTCGATTCAAAAAAATGAATTACAAACAGAATTACAACTCCCAAGAAAGGCTGTTTTCAGTGTATATAGAAGGAACATTTAACCAGCGGTCAAACACAAAACCAACAGGATGACATATTGAAATGATATAACATGAGGTGCTCCACCACCACAAACTTCTAGATGATGGTGGTGGTGGAGACAGCTGTTTATCACATCGGGCCCAAATCTCTCATAGGTGTTCAATGTGAAGGCTGTAGAATATGATTCATAATAATGATAATTCAGAATATGACTGACTCAGTCTCACTCTGAAATCGTACAGAAGCCTATGTATGACCTATGGATGGGGAATTTGGGGGAAAAACTGTTATTATTATTATTTTTATTATAATATTTTGACATGATGATGATATTGCTTAAATAGAAATTCAACTTGCCTGCTCTTGAACATAACTCCTAATTGGACAAATGTGAAAGAGAAGAAATTCATATTTTGATGTGGTGCCCTGTGGACTCTTAAAGATAGAAGATGAGGTAACACTTTATATTAGAGAACACACAAAGTGAACATATCCGAGCACTTGATTGTAATTCATGTACTTCCTTACTTACCATCAATAAGCAGTAATTATGAGGTTATTAAGGGAAAACTGTTAATCAATGGAGTAGTTGCAGAATAAGGTCATTAAGAATAAGGCATTAATAAGTGCTTTATAATGACAAATAAAGAGCCAACATGCCTCTAATACCCATGCAAGTAGTTAATGGTTGATATGTGTTCCCTAATATAAAGTGTTACCGAAAATGAATTTGTTTGCACAAGGTCCCCTTTGTAGACATTTTCCGGGGCCTTTATCCTTGATTTCTCAGAGAACAATTCGTGGATCTTGATAAAAAAATATATCAGGCATGTCTAGGGGTGACATCTATGAGTTTGTGCTAGTTGGTTCAGATCCGTCAACCATCAAGCTCAGATGGGAAACACTGTTCCATATTCTTATAAGCTGAGTTTATGTAGTTATACTCCGCAGCTTATCTGCAGAGATGTGTGATTGTGGTGACTCTGCTAATGTTTACAGTTTTTGTATGAGTTCACCAGGGGTCAAGTATCAAACTCCACAGTCTGACCACTTTAGCAGGTTTCAGAGAAGTGTGATGTTTCCAGAGCTGCATTATATGGTATTCATCTACTTCTGCTTGTAAATGAAACACTATGACATCATCGTATGCTTGTAGTGACTGTAGCTTTGCTGCTGGAAGAATATGTTCATGTTCACACACAACTCCCCATGAAATGCTTTACATTGATATCTACTTGAAATGACTAGATGCTGATGTATGTTGTGTGTGTGTCCTGCAGAGACATCTGTCCCCTTCTGAAGGACCCAGCTGCTCTGACAGCAGTGATTGACCTGTTCGAAGAACATGTGAGGAACAATTACAAACACGTTGATTTGATTGTAGGTAAGAAAACAAAGCAAAGGCTCTTTAATAAATATCTTCATATTTAATTTTTTACTCTTAGGTAGTAAGAATGCAAAAAACAAGCTTGTAGAATGGTCACAGCACCTTTAAAATAGTATTCATCGACATGCATTGAGAACATAGTGCTGTTAATTATCCATTTAAACCAAGTTGGTTGCACAACAGGTCAGCTTGCTTCTAATAATAGGCTTGGCCAAACTTCCTAATTTTACTTAGTAACCACTGTATCATTTCAATCAGCAAAACCCTGTGATACTGTCAAATGGCCTGATCTGTTTACATGACATGTTTGACTGTGGCCCTATGATTTGAGGCTGGGGTAGGACAGCTTTATACAACTCCCCTCTCAGGCCTGGCCTCTACCTTAGTCTCTTATCTAGTGAGAAGAAGCACGGCTGCCCTGCCCTTTACTCTTCCCTTTGGTAATACAAACTTTAGTCTGTGCTGCATCTGCTCAAGAAGATATTGAATGTTTGCATCTCAATGGGCTTAACTAAATATGTATGCATTTGTATGAAATAATTTTAACTCAGCCTCATCTCATGTAGCTAGTGGAAACTTTATGAAAGATATCTTGTTATACCAAGTGCACAGTGTATTCCATTTATCAATCAATCAATCAGATTTTATTTGTAAAGCCCATATTCACAAATCACAATTTGTCTCATAGAGCATACAAGGTGTATGCCCTTATTCCTCAACAAGAGTAAGGAAAAACATCAGAAAAGCCCTTTTAACAGGGAAAAAAGAAAAAAGACACCTTAGAGAGAGCCACATGTGAGAGATCCCTCTTCCAGGACAGACACAGTTGTTGGAGCATCACTTCCTTTCTAGTTTTCATGATGCTTGTTTTAATTCATGTGTGTTGGATTTATAACAGGGTGCTAAATTACTTTCTTTTACACGCTTCTTTTTTTAGAGGTACTGTGGAGTCTAATGTTAGTTGTAATGAGTTTACAGAGCTATCGACAAGATGGTAAATTTGAGTGGTGCTTGAGTTTTTAAAGAATTTGTTGGTTACGTCGCTGTATAATACAGAGTTAAATGTAATTATTTCCTTAAATGTAGCTACAGCTCTATCAGGTAGACATGTAGAACATGAGTTTTTCATTAATGGCATGTAATCTGATAATGAGAAATCAAAGGTTATTAAATTAAGGTCTGATAGAATTGGATTATGTAGAAGTTCTATTAGATGTTCACTTTTGACACTGTAAGATATTACAAGGTCAAGTTTGTGGTTACAACAATGAGTAGGTTGGTGTACACACTGACGGAAACCAGTTGAGTTTAATACTGAAATGAATGCAACCCTAAGGCTATCATTATGAGTGTCGACATGAATATTAAAGTCACTGACAATAATAACTTTATCTGTTTTATTAAAAACTGAGGGAATTCTGTTGAATATTCAGAATAAGCCGCAGGAGCACGGTAAACTACAGCAAATATGATTGGCTGTTGTGATTTCTTGGATGGGTGTGGAAGACTAAGAACAAGACTTTCAAATGAGTTGTAGCTTAGTTTGGGTTTAGGATTAATTGATAGACTGGAGTTAAAAATAGCAGCAACTCCACCTCCTCGGCCAGAATGACAGGGAGTTTGTGTATTTATATGACTGGGGGGTACATGTTGATACATTCAGGCTGACACATTCTTCAGGATGCAGACTGGTCTCAGTGAGGGACACTATAAATCAATATTGTGATCTGAGACTAGTTCATTTACTAAAATAGCCTTTGATGACAATGATCTTACGTTTAAGAGTCCACATTTAATTGTCCCTCTGTTAGTGTTTAATTTAAATAATTTAAAGTGACCATGAGCAGGCACAGTCTCTATGGGGTTGTGGTTGTGTGACTGATCCAAAGGGAGTGCAGAGAAGTTTGTAGAACTGCAGCTCTGCATCCTGGTCCCAACTCTGGGTGGTCATTTTGGGTTTATAAACTGAGTTATACTCCTAGATAAGAGAGCCGCTCCAAGTGGGATGAACGCTGTCTCTCCTCACGAGACCAGGTTTCCTCCAAAAAGTTTGCCAATTGTCTACAAAGCACACAACGTTTGCAGGACGCCACCTCGACAGCCAGTGGTTTACCATCATATACACGTGTAGGGGAGGCCCTTGCACTTGTTAACACACAGTAGTAGTCAGAAATATCTCATGTATAATAGAAACTGTTCTGACTCTGCTTTGGTGCTGCCACCTGCCTTTCCTCTTTGTTTTTTTTAGTAGTGATTACTTTCTTCGGAACATTAGCATGTTCAGTCTGAGTATGCAACTGCAATGTCCTGTTAAAACAGGGCGCAGTGGATGCTCACTGGAGGCTGTAACTGCCGGTTACAGACTTTATTACCCAATCTGACACTCCACAGGCCCCAACACATTTGGGCTTGGTTTACCAGCAGAGCCAGAGGTTGTCCTGCTGCAGCCCCGGGCAAACCAGGTTGTGTCGCTACAATGCACCCTCTGCTCCGCTTCAGACAGATGGGCCCACTGCCCAATAGGTGGAGTCATGGCTCCCCCATGTGTTTTCAATCCACACAGTCATGTCTGTCCTTTATTTTATGTTTTCACTTTCACTAAGGAGAAAACCTTTTTTTTGTCTGTCTCTTTGCAGGATTAAGCAAAATGTCCTGGATGGATTGCCACAAAACTAAGTTGAAAACTGTGATATGGGATTTAAGAGAAAATAACTGTGTCTGCAGCCACAGATCAGGGGGCAGATGTAGGATTTTTTTAAAATTGTAAAATATTATTTGTTTGTAAAATTTGCGTTAGTTTCTCAGACAATAATTCATGGATCTTGATGAAAAAAATCAGGCCTGTTTAGGGGACTGATATTTGGGAGTTTTTAAAATTTTGTGCAGTTAGTGAATCTTAATGTGGTTTCATAAAGAGACTGTTGGGTCATGGCAGTGGCTTTGTTTGAGAGTAGGACTATGCAAAAACTATATAACCGATCTTTGGAAGGGCCCCAGTAAGAACCCGTACAATATTTGGGCTGATAAGGATTTTTTTTTTCACTTTCTCTAACATTGTCAGATAGTGTGTGTCTTAACATTTTTGTTGATTTCTCAGAGAATAATTCATGGGTCTTGACTTAATGTCTAGGGAAGCTGTGCTGATATCTATGAGTTTGCACAAGTTGGTGCAGATCCAAACAAAAAGTGCTGTAAAACATATTTATGTAAGACTGGGGAAGGAAAAGTTGGTGTTTAGGTACAGGTGTGTGCCTGTGAGATTCGGTAGGTATGCCTGCGCTTGAACAGAAAGATGCTCCCTCCCTGATTACCGTGCATTAGATAGCATGTCTCTTTATCTCAGTCCTCAGAGTGACAAGAGCAGCAGCTTGTTCTCTTTCATTTACTTTGTTCGGTATTTTTATCCGTTTTCTCACTGGGTCTGTTTGTTCTGTAGAAGAGACTTCCTTAAAAAAAGTCTTGAACATCTGGATCAGAAGTTATCAGTTAAAGACCCATGTTGGTGTGATGGAAATCTGAAAATACAAGAGGCTGGATTACCAACTTTGTCTTTGTGTATTTATTAGGGGCTTTCTGCAGAAAGGATCAACACAGAGAGTCACAGGGATCTCAGAGTGTTGATGGAGAACAGTCAAATGCAAGCATCAGGAGAACTAAGGCTGTTTGACTGAGCCAGTTCAGACTGGTTCTGTAGGCACAGTTTCAGACAGGAATTAAGACAGGAAACTTATTTGCAAATGTTTCCTTTGACGATTAGGTATAATCCCTTGGACAGTCAATAAGTAATAAAAAGGTAATAAAGGTTTCAGGTCACAAACCATTCAGGTCATAAAAGTCTCAGACAGGTATAGGTACTTTTCAACTACAAAATAGTTTCCCATCACACTTTTTACAGTTTTTGTATGATTACAAATTACATATTGTGCCTTAAGTAGCCCAGATGGTATAGAGATGATGGTAATAGAAGGTTGTCCCTTGGGGATGTTGTTTCCTCTGCTTTCTGCTCAGAACATGAGCAATGCAGCCAACGTCTACTGCTCCACCCAGCTCCACCCAGCTCCACCAGTATTACAGACTGGAATAATGTATGGAAATATGCCTTGAAATCCTCTAAATGTGTAAGACGTGTCAGGAATATCAACCGTTTCATCAACAATTTCAGTGCGATCATTTTAAAGCCCTTCCTTTTAATTTGA